CATAAAAGTCCAAAGGAGACCCTATAGATACCGTACGATACGAAATCGAAGCCGACCAGCTAAATGTCGGTTAATGCGCGGGTTATAGCCTATGAAATAGCGGATCATCGGCTGCCCTAAGAGTCTCTTCTACGTGTGTATCTGCCACACGCACATACACGCATACATGCACGCATACACGCACGCACGCACGCATGCACACACATACACACAAGTACACCGATCGATCCCGACAAGAGGGGAGAAACAAGCGTTCATGGAACCACGATATATCCGCTAAATTCGAATCGAATCATATCGTCAGTCAAGATCTGCTCGTCGAAATGGGAGAAATGATTGAAGAAGATGACTAAAGTCGGTCGATCGAATAATACTAAACATGCACGCGTAAACGCAAATCGGCGAAGAAAACAAGGGGGAATGAATGCTATAATCGCGCGCTTACGCACATCCGCACGCACGTGACTCGCTCACACGTGTGCGTGCGAATGCGCGTCCCACGCGTTCTCTATTAATGGCATTTACGTACGAGATAAAACCTAAGGATATGACTCTTTTTTTGTTATTTGTTACTCGCATGAACAAGGGTTAATTCGACAGTGTTAATTCACCGCGAGTATCCCTACCTTCGTATGTGGAAGCATACATATATATGTACATATTGCAATCGGGCATGGACCGAATCGTATGTCGAAACCGAAGAGTCGATGCGACACGCAACCATGATATTATAATGATTGCAACTCCTATTATGTGTGATAGCATCATAGCATACTCAGTCTATACCGACGAAAAAAAAAGACCTTTCTCTCGTTCCTTCCTTCCTTCCTTCTTTCTTTTTTTTCTTTCTTTCTTTCTTTCTTTCCTTCCTTCCTTCCTTCCTTTCCTCTTCCCTCCCTATTTTCGCGTTCTCCGTTTGTTTTCAATCCTGTTAATTACCCAGTGTAAATACGATTATTCGTTAAACAGGCACATCGAGTTGATAAAATATTTCTTTTTTTCCCCATATACACAATGTAACGTATCGATACGTATACGAAAAGATCGGGCGAATCGCTTAATCCTAAGACGAGAAGAGTACTTTGCATAAGTGCGGAAAGAATAATAATAATAATAAGAAGAAAAAGAAGAAGAGCGAACGAAAACGAAGGGGTCAAGATGCACAAATCGACACCGCTCGTAAACAAGTTACGATACTGTTAGATTATATCGATTTATCTGATGCCTCTCGATAAAAAGGCACTCGAGAGATTTGCGAGGCTATCATGGACCCGATAGCCGTAACGGCCCTGCTCTATAAGTTAAATACAGTTAAATTGCAGTGCATATCGTCTGTCGCTTTCTTATTGTATCGCGTGAAGAGTTTCTTTCCCTCGTGATACCGGTAACATATCTAAAACTCTGTTACGCGCACGTCTACGCTACCCCTATATATCTTCATATAACTATGTATATAATTTGCGATTTTCTCCTCTTCTATCTCTCTCTTTCTCGCTCTCCCCCCCCCCCCCCCCCCCCCC